AGGAGAGACCGGTCCTTGGAGAAGGACATCATGCTTAGTAGGTTGGAGGGACAGAGCAGGAGGGGAAGGCCCTCTATGAGGTGGATTGATACAGTGACTGGGGTAATCAGGATGGGAGTGTCGGAGACAGTGCGATTGGCACAGGACAGAGCAGAGTTTAGGGCTTTTGTACATAGGGTCGCTATGAGTCGCAAGAGACTCGACGGCACATAACAACAGACAACCTTAGGGTTGGCAGAGCAACTCCTTACTCAGAAGGCCACTAGAATTCCCTATTCCTAATGTTCTTCTTATTGTTTAACCTTATTCAAATACAGAATATATCAAATAATATATTGCTAAAAAACATTTCCCTGTGTGGAACTCTTCTAACTCTTGTGTTTGTAATAGTGAAAAATGAAACAAGGGGAGAAGTACTGAGGAGGACATAGAATAACAGGTTTTGCCTGAGTCATCTTTGTTCTTAGTGAGGAACCATGATGATGTAGTGCATTAGATGTTGTTCTACCAATGAGGTTAACAGAATCCTCCAGTGACTCTCTGGGAGAAAGATAACATAATCTATTCTCTTTAAGACTTACTACCTTGGAAACACAGTATTCTCTTTGAATTGACTCAAGGAGATGGAGTTGGTATGGTTTGCTCTTAGAACTGTGCACCTAGGCAACTAACAAAGAGAAATCTCTCAGTGAGAGCTAAGGTCCCTTTAATGAAAGGTAGTGATACCTGACAAGCCTTTGTAGAGCATATGTGAGTTGAAGAAGATAATTCTTTGAAGAAATATTTGAGGATCCACATTTTATTGGTATTTTTGCTGGATCTGGAATATAACAGTAAATAAAACACTGAAATTCACTTACTTGTGAAGTTTTAGGGTGTAAACATTTATATACACATAACGTGGAGAGGATGTAGCCAAGGTACTCTTTTAAAGGGAAGGATCGTGAAACTTCATCTCATATACTTTGGGTATATTGCTAGGTAGGGCCAGTACTTTGAAAAGAACTTCACACTTAGAAAAGTAGAGGGTCAGCAAAGGAGAGGAAGACTCTCCATGAGATAGATTGACAGAGTAACTCTTAACAATGGAGTGACAGAGAAGATGAGGATGGTACAAAATAAGGCAAGGTTCAAATCCATCATTTCTAGGGTCACTGTGAGCCATAGTCAGCTTCTTGGCATCTAACACCAACATCAAAAGGTCAGTGCTTATTTTTGTAACTTTTTATGGCTTCTCATCTTTTAACAATTTGTTGTTGTTGATGTCCTTGTGTACTGTCAGGTCAGACCTGGTCCATAGCTCACCTTCCACTGGGTTTTCAGAGACAGTAAATCTTATGGGAGGACATTGCCCATTCTTTTCCAAGGAGCAGCTGTGGGATTCCAATCACATGCCTATGGATTGGCAGTACAATTCTTTATCACTAAGCCACCAAGCTCCATATTTTAACAGTGTTGTTTTGTGGCGTTAAGTCAGAACTGACCCATAGCTGACTCTCAAACGGGATTTCAGAGGAAGTTTAATCACAGGGGAGGAGGTTGCCCATCCTTCTCCCACAGAGCAGATGATGGAGTCTCACCATATGCCTTTGGGATTACAGTGAAATTCCTTAACAGTAGGCCTCCAAAGCTCTCAATTTTAACGTTGTTGTTGTTGTTGTTATGTGCTGTCAGGTTGCTTGTAACTCACAGCAACCCTGTGCACAGTAGCTCTGAACCATACTGTCTCCTGTGACAACCTTATTGTCTCTGACACACCTATCATGCCTTGTAATTTAGCATATATGTGACAAGAGTAGGTATTAATAAAGAATTGTTTCCTTCTAACTTTGTTGTGCTACTAAGTAGAAATGATAGTCTCCTAGGTGAGACTCAATGAGTTTTTTCTGTCACATTTTGTTCCACAGCTAAGAAAAGCAGAATCATACACTTTTTTTTTTTTTTTATTTAAAATTGAGAGGCAAAAGCTGTTTTGTGATATGGGAAACTTTAGTGATATTGAATAGTAACTTGCTTTTGTCTTTTATCATTTTAATGTAAGAATAATGTTATGATAAGTAATACTTTTTTTAGTAAACTAAATAGGATGTTTTATTTTGACAAAATAACATTTAATAAGATAGCTTTCTAAATCTAACTGGGAAACAGTTTTTTCAACAATATGATTTTATCTTTAATAAAGTTATATATAGTGACTGATCATTGTTTTTCATTTCTTTTTACTAATTTACAGGTATTAAATGCTATGCTAAAAGAAGTATGTACAGCATTGTTGGAAGCAGATGTTAATATTAAACTGGTAAAGCAACTAAGAGAAAATGTTAAGTAAGTTAAATTAATCAATTTTTAAAACTAAATTGAGTTTACTGGATTAAGGAGCCAACATGAAAAGTTTGCTGTATCATGAAACCTTTCTTTTGTACAGTACTAGAAAAGAGTAGAACTCATATGGTGGAAGACTACGTGTATTATGTTTCCACAATGATCATTCAAAAAATAAAGTGCAATTTAAAATATGTGACTTTCATTTCATTATGAATATTTCTCTCCACATTTGACTACTTCTTTATTTGTAGGGATTCAATCATGTATACTATTATAATATAAAAATCTTTTAACAGCTTAGATTCTTCATGGAAAAGCCATTTTATGCTCTTCATACTTCAGATGATATTAATCAAACCTTGTTCCTTCGGTTTCTCCCTCTATGTTTTAAAGGAATAACATGGTGGTCTCAGTAATTATGTTGCTTGGGTAAGATACTGGATCACAACACAAAACAGTACTTGACACTTAACTGCTTGAATTTAAATTCTTTTTTTTCTTATTGTGTGCTGTCAAATCGGATCTGACTGGCATAGGAACAGATTGCCCTTCCTTCTCCAACAACGCATCTGGTGGATTCGAACTGCACACCTTTGGGATTGCAGTGTAGCTTCTTGCCACTAGGCCACCAGAGCTCCGTAAACTTTTGTTTTTTAAATTTTATTATTTTTGTGTGTTTGTACCATCAAATCGAATCTGACTGGTATAGGAGGAGATTGTCCCTCCTTCTCCAGAGCATCTGGTGAATGTGAACAGACTCTTTTTTTAAAAAAAAATAATTTTATTGGTTTACCTGTAGTCATTTAGAGATATTATGTTTTGTACTTTGTGTTTTATACATTCATATACATTATATTTTATATAGCTAATCACTATTTCAGTATGCCTATTATTACCCTGTCTTTACAAGCTTCATTAAACCTTTCCCATTACTTCATCACCACCCCTCCATCCACTAACCTGCTATCCCAGTGATTTTTTTTTCCCTCGTCCCTTTTTCCTGCCCCCTTTTTTCTCCCTTTTGAACATTTATTACATACCTTACTCAGTTATCTTCCTGTTTTCACAGTAGTGGCCTGGTGCAATGTTTGTCCTTATGTGACTGAGGTCATTCACTTAGCAAAATACTCTTTAATATCTCCCAGGTTACATAGTATTTTACAAAATCATAGTTTCTTTGTGCTATATTGTGTGAATACACTAAAATTTCTTAATTATTTTGGGCTGCTTCTATTTTCTTGCTATTCTGGCAAGAAATTTGGGCTGCACTTATTTTCTTGCTGTTGTGAATAATGCTGATTTGAACATAGTTAAATAAATGTCCATGTCTCAGTTCTGATTTCCTTGGGATATATTCCTAGCAGTTGAATAACTGAGTCATACGGGATTTCTGTGCTCAACCTTTTGAGGAAATGCCAAACCACCTTTCAGAGAGATTGTACCATTTTACAGTCCTTCTAGCAGTGTATAAGAGTTCCAGTATCTTGACATCCCCTCCAACATTTACTGTTTGCTGTTTTGTTGAACTTTACTACTGCTGCTGGAACAAGGTGGTATCTTACTGTTGTTTTGCTTTACATCTCTCTGATTCTGGTGATTTTGAATATTTCCTCATGTGTTTCTTAGCCATCCAAATGTCCTCCTTTGTGAAGAGTTTTTCCATGTCTTTTGCCCACCATTTTGTGATTGAGTTATTTGAATTTCAACTCTGGTCATATTCAGGCCAGGTCTCTTTTTTGTTATTAAACTAACAAATGAATACGGATCTACTAGCATTTTAGCAGTTAGAACTAGAGAAGGTAGCCCATTTTCTGCTAGTTGTAAAGATGTGTGTTATTGGTTGTTCTTATGTGCCATAAAGATGAAATTGTCATAACTAACCATCTAGTGTGTTTTCAGAAGTTATAAATCACAGGGTTGGAGATTGCCCATCTTTCTCCCACTGAGCAGTAGCTAGTGGATTCAAACCACTTGGCTTTGGTTGGCAGTGCAACTCCTTAACTAAACCTTCACTAAAGATGTATTGTTTTGTAACATCAAGTTAAAACTGACTCATATCTGACCCCCCCCCCCCAGTGAGTTTTCATAGGCAGTAAATCTCATGGGAGGAGATTGCCAGTCTTCCTATTACAGACCAGCTAGTGGATCAAAACATGTACCTTTGGGTTGACACTAAGTCACCAGAACTCTCTAAAGATGTATCTTGTTACTAAGTACCATTGAGTTGGAACTTCTAGTAGCTGACCCTTCAGCAGAGTTCAGAGGCAGTAAATTGCACAGGAGGAGATTGCCCATCCTTCTTCTGCAGAGCACCTGGTGAATTTGAACCACATGCCATAGATTGCAGCACAGCCTCTTACCAGTAGGCCACCAGAGCTTCCCATAAGGATTTATAGAAAAGTAAATTGGGTTTTGCAGTGATAGAAGGACAGATTAACTTTTGATTTTTAAATAACCAGTTGTTTTGCATCTAGTATTTCATTGTTTGTTTGTTTTTAATGCCATAGAATTAGAACTCTGTAGCAGCTATGTGTATGTCAATTGAAAAACTATTAATGTGAGTGGTTTTCTGATACTCTTTGCTGGAGAACCTAATTTTTTTCTTTTTTAAACTGTCTTAACTGACTTCTCTTTCTTTTGTTCTCAAACACGACCATCATGAAGGTCTGCTATTGATCTTGAAGAGATGGCATCTGGTCTTAACAAAAGAAAAATGATTCAGCATGCTGTTTTTAAAGAACTTGTGAAGGTAATTATATTACACTCTGCTCTGGTTTTCTGAAGATTCATTAGGTTAAAAGGTACTAACACTACAGACAGAGATCCTGTTTCAGAATACTTATGGGTTTCTGGGATGTATTCACACAAATATTTAAAGTGTTTGAAAATATTAGTTGAAGGATTATTAACTGTTTTCTAAAGTGTTCTATTTTTATGATAGAGTTTTCTGAATATAGAATTCTAAATTTGTATTTCAAGGTCAGTTTTATTCCTGCTTAGGAGTCTTGGTGGCACAACAGTTAAGCATTCAGCTACTAATCAGAATCTCATTGATTAAAACCCACCCAGCAACTCCAGAGGAGAAAAGGCCTGACAGTGGGCTCCTGTCAGATTAGAGCCCAGGAAGCCCACTGGGACAATTCAGCACTGTCGTACAGTCGTCTGAGCAGCAGTCAAGAAATCAAATGGTGTATTGCATTGGAAAATCTGCTGTAAAAGACTTCTTTAGGATATTAAAAAAGTAAAGGTGTCCCTTTGAGGCCTAAGGTGTGTCTCACTTAAGCCATGGTATTTTTAGTTGACTTAGATGCATGCAAAAGCTGGACAGTGAATTTAGGGCTGTAGAAGAATTGGTATCTTTGAATTTTAATACTGATAAAAAAAATATTGAAGTTATCATACACTAACAGAAGATTGAATAAATCTGTCTAAAAAGAACACAACCAGAATGGTTCTTGGAAGGAAAGATAGTGAAATCTCCTTTGATGTACTTTGGTCATGTTACCAGTAGGGACCAATTCCTGGAGAAGGATCATTCTTGGTAAAGGAAGGTCAACAAAAAAAGAGGAAGACTCAAAAAAAATAAAATTAAAAAAAAAAAAAGAGGAAGACTCGCATAACAAGAAGAACTGATACGGTGATTGAAGCAGTGATCAAACAGTAATGGTGGTGAGATTTGTGCAGGACCAGAAAGTTTTTTATTCTGTTGTACATTAGAGTCTCTATGAGTTGGAACCTACTCAAATAATACATGTAGCATCTGTTATTGGATGTGGAATCTTATAACACATGAATCAGCATTAACTAGAATCAGTATGAATTGATGTCACACAGCAGAATGGCACTATTCCTCTAAGGAATGTCTAAGCCATATTGCGGTGAGAAAAGTCATGAGTTCCGATGAATTGATGAAAAGGCCTCTGAGTTTCTCCTCTTTTTATATAGCAGGCACTGCCTGTTCAATGTCCTTAGAGATGAACGGGAAGATTTCAAATAGTAGCTTGAGAAAACCAAACCAAACCATGAAATGTGCCAAGAGCTAGAGTCAGAAGATAAAAAGGGAAGAAATTGTGCAAAACTTTTTAGTGGAAAGAACTGAAGAACAAATTCAAGCCTCAAGTTGCAGTACTGAAAGATGCTATTGGCAAACCTTGAATGACCCAGGAACCGTCAAAAGAAAATGGAAGGAATGTAGTTTCAGAAAGAATTGGCTGGCACAGAACCATTTCAGGAAGCAACATATAATCAGAACCAGTGATGATAAAGGAAGAAGTTCAAGCTGCACTGAAGGCATTGGCAAAAAATAAGATCCTAGAGATTGATGGAATAACAATTGGCATGTTCTAACAAAGCTTGTAGTGTTGGACATGTTCCCCAATCTTGGCCAAGAAATCTGGAAGACAGCCACCTGGCCAGCTGACTGGATGAGATCCATATTTTTTATTTCCTATTCTCAGAAAAGGTGATGTAGCCGAATGTGGCAATTACTGCACAGTATCATTAGCATCATGTATAAGCAAAATCTTTTTGAAGATTGTTCAGATGTAGCTAGAGCAGTGTATTGACTGTAAAAAGAGTGAAGACACAGTAAAGACATCTGAGTCTCACCCCTTCTAACTCCAGAAAGGAAAACCACCTCAAAAAACAACATCCACAGCACAAAACCCAATTCCCATGAGATCGGACTTGTGTTGTTGTCCTTGCCCCATGCTCAACTGTCTGTGTTGTGGTTGTATACTGTAGAGTTGGAACCAAACAATAGATGACTTTCCCTCAGGTTTACAGAGGCAGTTAATCACACAGGAGAAGATTGCACGTTCTTCTTCATCAGAGCAGCTGGTGGATTGATTTGAACTGCATGCCTTTGGGATTGCAGTACAGCTTCTTACCACTAGGTCACCAGAGCTCCTCTTCCTATTTCTACTAATTCTACCATTTTTCTCCTGGATCTAAAATCCATTACAGTTGCTATGCAGAGTACACAAAACCATACTCGCGATTCTGGGGTTTATTAGGGAAGTTAACAGGTGCCTGTAATCCTGAAGACACACAGTTTGAGGCCACCAGCCACTTCATGGGAGAAGGATGGGCAGTCTTCCGTGCATCACCTGCCTCTGAAAACCCTCCAGAGGGTCAGCTGTGGGTCGGTTCTGACCCGATGGTAAAACAACAACAGGCTGGCAGCAAGATACAGTCTCTCTGGACAGTTTCTGAAATGTGCTCAGGCTCCTTAACCTTCATCCTGTAGCTTTAGGCCACTGTTAACAAAGCTATCTTAGTCCTTCCAATTAATGTGTCTCCCTGTCAATTTTCCAGCAAACTTGGGTGAAGGCTCCTAGCTCCATTTCCGTGGGGCAGCGGTCCCAAAGTCATCTCTGTCTCTTGTTGGGTTTCTAGATCTCTACTCTCATAGCTGCTGCTGCTCCTGTCAGCCCCAGTCTAACTGGTGCAGGCATCTTTGGCTCTGAAGGACATGTACTGCTTTCTCTGCTGCTTTATTTGTGTTTCCAAATTTCTGCCACTGAATTTCTCAATTTAATGGCAATACTAGCCAGTCTCTTATGGATAGTTTTTGGGAAATTCGCACTGTTTTTGGGAAATACACTGTCAGGGACCTCTCCAGAGTGCTGAAGAGCAGTGATACCAGCTTAAAGACTAAGCTGCACCTGATTCAAACCATGGTCTTTTCGATTACTTGCTACGCATCTGAAAGTTGGTTAGTCACTAAAGATGACAGAAGAAGAATCAATGCCTTTGAGTTGCATTAGAGAAGAATACTGAATATTCCTTGAACTGCCAAAATAACAAGTCTCTCTTAGAGAAGTGAGACCAGGGTGCTCCTTGGAAACAAGGATAGTGAATCTTCATCTCACATCCTTAGACCTATTTTCAGAAGGAGCTAGTCTTTGGTGGACATCATGCTTGGAAAGGTGGAGGAGCAGTGTAGGAAATGGGGACCCTCACCAATGACTGTAACAGTGGACTCAAGCATATTGCAGATGGTGAGGATGACACAAGATAGGACAGAGTTCAGATCCAATGGCAGGGTTACTATGAATTGTAGTTGACGCAGCACATAACAACAACAGTGCAGGTTGAGATGTTCTCGAAGTATTAAAGCATTGACTTTCAAGACTCAATATAAGAAAAAGAAGATAAACTATCTCATAAAATTTTAAATATTAATGTTGAAATTATAGTATTCTTTACAGGGTGGAGGGACAGCGCAGGAGAGGAAAAGCCCTCTATGAGGTGGATTGATTCAGTGACTGGAGTAATGGGGATGGGAGTTTCAGAGATAGTGCGATTGGCACAGAACAGAGCAGAGTTTAGGGCTGTTGTACCAACAGCAACAACATATTGATATGAATTACATACTAAAATTAGTGTTGTCTGTTGTTAGTTTTTTAACCAAAGTTCCTAGAAATTTTGAAATTATCTATCTTACATATGTATCTTTATATTACATTTCTTCATTGCTAATGAAGATTGTTCCTTTGAGTCAAACTTGGTCTCCCATTTTATTAACATCTTGCTTTTTCTGAAAAATATTTTGAGATCCCTACTTCTTAATTGAATTGGAAGTATAGGCTTGTTTATATTTCACAATACATTCTTTAAAAATCTTAAATTTCAGTGTGTATGGCTACAAAGGGTCATAATAGAGTTGTGCTAAAATGAAAAGACTGGATGCCGTTTGCATCAGAATGTCTTTAAATTGCTTTTAAGTCATAGAGAGAGGTTTAATGTAAGTACTGTAATCTGATTTTATTTCTGTTTTGGTTTTGGTATGTAGCTTGTAGACCCTGGAGTCAAAGCATGGACACCCACTAAAGGAAAACAAAATGTGATTATGTTTGTTGGCTTGCAAGGAAGTGGTAAAACAACAACTTGTTCAAAGGTAAATCACACTTAAGTTTTAAAGAAATATCATAGAGAAGATTTCTTTCTATAAGTCATGATTCATAGTAATGCCAAACTTTATAATGTTGTTGCTTTACAAGTTTGTATTACTTGAAACTTCTATTACACATTTGTATAGCTTTTTATAGAATATGAAGAGAAAACTTTCTTAGTCTATTTTACTTCTTTTTCCTCCCTGTAACAACCCCAGAGTAACATATACCTAACTGTGCTGCTTCTTTAAAAACAAAAAAACCTTTTTAGTTTTTAAACAAAACTATTACTTTTTGGAGACGATCATGCAAAAAGTTTATTTCTTATGTTTTAAGATTCCCTTTTCAGGTCTTCTAGTGTCCCGCTCAGCATCTTTATTTTTCTAATTTTCTATTCATTAATATCTTTTCCCAAAATCAGCTGCTTCACTTTTTTTACCAATTTTTGCCCCCTCTCAAACTCCAACTGTGTTGTAGTTAGTAAAGAAAAAGGGTGAGTTTACTTTTTAGGAAGTGGATTTTTTCCCTTTTACATAATTAATAATAATTTACATTTTTTATTCTAGTCATCTGCTTCTTGGAATGTGGCTATATGTATGACAATTAGAATTTAAACTCTTTTGAAATTTATTATAGCTCAAAAAAATTTTAAATACTCTTTTTAAGAGAATTATGAGCAGTTCTGATTTATTCCCTTAGTAAAATGAGAAAGGTGTACAGAGATGTTTTAACTATAATTTCTATTTATTGATATAATTACAGTTTAATCTTTCATTCCCAGTTAGCATATTATTACCAAAGGAAGGGTTGGAAGACCTGTTTGATATGTGCAGACACATTCAGAGCAGGTAATACATTGAATTTGAGCCATTACTCTTCTTTTCTTTTGTTTTTTGTTTTGAAGATTCATTAATTCTTTATCTCCTAGGGGCTTTTGATCAGCTAAAACAGAATGCAACCAAGGCAAGAATTCCATTCTATGGAAGGTAGGTTTCTATTTCTAATTCTGGTACTCTTACATTTTTATCTGTCTGATTTATTTTATGCCTTCTGGTCACATATTAATACATACTCTGAAAATTGAGTTGCAGTGCATCACAGGCAACTCAGTAGCACATAAAAACAATAATATACTAGCAACTCAATAGCACGTAAAAACAATAACATACTATGACAGGCTTGGAAGCAGTAGTAGCATCCATTTCCTAAATAACATGACTCCAGAAACTCTATGAACTTTGATAAATGTCGATAGTTGTAGAGGGGCTTCAGGCCTTTTGTTCATAGAATCGATATGAGTTGTGCTTGACTTGAAGGCAGTCACCAACAACAGCTCTAAAGATTAACTCCTTTTGAATAAAGTGGCAGTGTGATTAAGAACAGCATCTCTGGTAACAGATTATGTAGAGAGTTGTGCTGCTAACCCAAATACAGCTACTCTTTGGTGGTTTGTATCTAACAGTGACTCTACTGGAGAAAGATGGGCAGTACCCTCCCACACACTTTTTCAGCTTCTGAAACTCACCAGGGGACCATCTTTGAGTTGATCCTGACTCAACAGCAATGGCTGATTGATGATTAATAAACCATTATCTTTTATTATTATTATGACATGATCTTTCTGCTCTAACCTGTTTGATCAGAGTAGACAGTGTTTAGTTTCTTACCTTAAGTAGCATGCTTTTCTGCCTTAGATCTCTGTTCCTATTGTGTCTTTTTAAGACCTATCAGAAGCATTCCTCCACTAAACACATAGGGATGAAGTTTGAGTTGTTTTTTGTATATCGTGTAAAAAATGTTCAATCATAAGTTTTTAAACAAATTATAATATTTGTTTTATATGTTTCTAGTCTTTGGTATCCTCATTTGATATGCTGCTATGTAATTAATTTTTAAAAATTAGTCATTGAAAAGGTTAAATGATTACATGAAAGAATTTAGCCTAGGTTGACTTTAAGAAGATTTAATTGACGGAATAGCTTAATATTATTAATATAAATAATTTATTATACTCCTGGGAAGAAAGTTTAAAGAAAATAATTTTGAGATAGTTAAATGAACTTTTTGGTAGTCATCACCTACTTTTTGTCTGGCCAAAAGTGTTAATAAAGTTTGTCTTTGATATAGTCTTTATTTTTCATTTTAATGTAGTCTCTGAATCAAACTGTCTTATCAGGGGTAATGGAGAGGTGTGTCAGAGACAGTAAGATTGGCACAAGATAGAGCAGGCTTTAGGGCTCTTGTACATAGGGTTGCTATGAGTTGCAGGCAACACCCGCTCATAACAACAACATCTGTGTAGTCTCTAGGAGACAGATTACTAGGTAATGTTTTAATAAGTTTCTGTCACATCAGTTCTGACACATTTAGCCCATCTGTGTCCAACTAGACCTGTACTCCATAGATATTTCAATGGTTACTTTTCAGAAATAGATTGGTAGGCCTTCCTTTATCGTGCCTCTGGGTAGATGCCATCCACAACCCCCAACCTTTCAGATAGTCAGTTGTGTTTACTGTTTGCACCAGCCAGGACCTTCTTTTTAGGATAAAAATGGCTTCCAATATGGTTTTAAAAATCAAGGATTAATAAATTTGCAAATCATTTAATTTAATAATTATTTGAACTATTGGCCAGAGCCAGAGCTTAAATATTTAATCAAAGTTCTCAAGTCCATGTACTGAATACTTTCTCTTTTGTTCATAGAAACTTTAAAAGCATACTGTCTATATGGAATAAGGTATTAATAATCATAGTTATCTCAGAGGGACAAGACAATGGGATTGGTGATGGACTTGAACTATATCTCTAATGTTAAATTATCTACTGTATAGTAGATACAATCTTGTTTACTGCCCCTTCTTTGTAAAAATCACATTACTGAAAGAAAAAAGGTCAAGCATCAATAATATTCTGATTTCCCAGTTAGTAGTTTTAGGTGTATGTCCATCTATGCTTTTCTAATAGCTATACAAATGAATAGTCTTACAGATACATATGTAGAGATAAATTATTTTAAAAGAAAATGAAACTTGAAGTGTTTTATACCTTGATTACTGTGATAGTAGTTTTGTGGGTTACGCTACATTGTTAAGATTCATCAAAATGAACACCTGAAATAGTGCATGTATTTAAAAAAATTTTTTTTTAACATTTCACTTTAGAGGTTAATAAAAATGGAGTACTAATTATTTTGAAATGGCTAGTGGGCTGTTAAGATAATTCTATTTTTAGGCATCATTGTATTACTTTGTATGTATATTTATAATTAATCTTATGACCAAAATTCTTTGCACACTTATTAGGTATTTTCTATATCATATTTTAAAATAGTAGTGCTAAATACCATCTTTTTCAATATTTTCTTGGTTATTTTTCACTTAGGGGCAAAAACATTTTTTTACATTACATATATTTATTTGGCAGTGATAATATGTACAGAAAGTTGTAATTGGTCAAGGAATAAAAATTACAGTTTGATCCTACTGCTTCATTCTCAAGTTGAGACTTTTCTTTTGTCAGGAATTGTGAAAATGTAACGAAATCGAAAACTTTGATCAAAGATGTTCAGAGGGGGAAAAAAACCCAAAAGTTTTAATCATTATGTACCATTTGATTGAAATTCAACTTTCCTAAGTGTGACATAACAAAATTTCAAGGAAGCATACAGCAGTTACATACTATTCATTGTGTTTGTAATTTTAAAGAAATGGAGAAAATCTTAAATGTGTCAGAGTAGAGCTTGTATTTAATGGTTAATAATGTAACCATGTGATGGGATTCTGTGTAGCTGAAAAATATCATGTCCTTTTTTTAGAGTATTCTTCTAAATTGAAGCTACAATCATTTGGCTTTATTCAATATAGATTCAGATTAAAGATTTCTTAAAGAATTGTCCCTATTTCATAGCTATACAGAAATGGATCCTGTTATCATTGCTTCTGAAGGAGTGGAAAAATTCAAAAATGAAAATTTTGAAATTATTATTGTTGATACAAGTGGTCGCCACAAACAAGAAGACTCTTTATTTGAAGAAATGCTTCAAGTTGCTAATGCCATAGTAAGTGACTTTCAGTGTAACACTGTTATGCATTTATAATCAAATGAAATTATTCTTTGCCTTGAAGATAGATTAGAATTAATTTGTTTTGTGCACCTTTATAACTGTGGCAAGGACTTATTTAATAATATTTGATAAGGGCTTACCTCATAATATTTGGCCTCTGTTAGATCTTTGCATAGTTGTTTTCTTATTTTTCTGGCCTTACTTCAAATATTACCTCCAGAGAGGCCTCCCCTAAACACCTTACCTGAAGAAACCTTGATTCCTCAAAATTTATACTCTCTATCCCATTTTAATTGCTCTACATGTGAAATATTTGTTAGCTAGTTTATTCTATCTCATGTGACTAGATTCTAAATGTCATGAGGGCAGATGTTCTCATCTTGCTAATTTGTATCCAAGACCTAAATCATAATATTCTTGTAGTCTCTCAACAAATATTGATTGAGTGAATAGTTATTTATAGTAAATATTATAGCCTCTCATTGCGAGTTTTAAGATAAGTAAAAATATATATGTTTTCTTTAAAATTTCTAGCAACCTGATAATATTGTTTATGTGATGGATGCCTCCATTGGGCAGGCTTGTGAAGCTCAGGCCAAGGCTTTTAAAGATAAAGTAGATGTAGCTTCAGTAATAGTGACAAAACTTGATGGCCATGCAAAAGGAGGTGGTGCACTCAGTGCGTAAGTATTGTCAGTGCTCTCATTCTGTGTCTTGGGGTTCTATGAGGATGTATGTGTTCTATGACTTTCATCTTGATCATTTGAAATATGTGTTGGTAATGAACATACTATGATTTATAAAAGTTTCAAAGACAGAATTTGCAGACTCTCTGATACAGTTCTTTTTTAACTAATGAAAAGAAAAACACTGTGCACTTTTGTCTGTTAGGTTTGAAAATCAGTTGGAAATGTGTTTTCTTTTTTCATATTACTTTTGTCATTTTCTTTGTAGGGTTGCTGCCACAAAAAGTCCAATTATTTTCATTGGTACAGGGGAACACATAGATGACTTTGAACCCTTCAAAACACAGCCTTTTATCAGCAAACTTCTTGGTATGTATAATGGTGGCATTGTAGAATTAGCTCCAAGAAAGAGTATAGGTCTTTATGGTAGGTTAGGATTATAATCCTGTCTTCTCACTCACTGTTGTTGTTGGCTGTTGTTTTAGAAACAACTCAGAGCTGACCCTTCAGCAGGTTTTCAGAAGCAGTAAATCAGAGATTACCTATCCTTCTCCCATGGAGCAGCTAGTGGATTTGAACCAAGAACCTTTGAGATTGCAGTACAGCTTCTTACCGCTAGACCACCAGTGCTTCCGTCTCACTAACTAGGAAAATAATTTTCTTTTATGACTTATGTGAGATGGGCCTGGTACACCAAAGATTAAAGTGCTTGGCTACTAATCACAACAGCAAGAAGTCTGCTTCTGTAAAGATATAACACCCTTACTGCAATCCCAGAGGTGCACCGTTCAAATCCACCAGATGCTCTGCTGGAGAAGGAGGAATAATCTCTTCCTGTATCAGTCAGATCTCATTTGACAGTACACACACACACACACACCCCCAAAAAAAAAAAAAAAAAAAAAAAAAAAAAAAAAAAAAAAACCGGTTCCCTTTAAAAAAAAAAATTAAAAAAAAAAAGATGTAACACCTTGGAAACCCTAAAGGGCATTTTACTTTGTCCTGTATTTGTTGTGTATATTGTGTATACTGACCCATAGCTGACCCTCCAGTGGGTTTTCAGAGGCAGTAAATTATACAAGAGGAGCTTGCCCATTTTTTTTTTTCATATAGTTGTTGTTATTGTTGTAAGTGTGGTCTAGTCGTAGGAAACTCAAAGCAACCCTATGAACGAAAGACCTATATGCTTGTTTAACTTTCATCCTTTCTCCAGGTTCATACAGAGAGACTATAAAAAGAAAATAAAAAGCAAGAAACAAAGTTTGTATAATGTGGTAACAACTGAGAAAGAAGTATGCCAGAATGCATGAACCACATTTGACAGGTTCAGGAAATATTTGATGGTTAGAATTGATTCTTGAAGAAAGAGGGAATAAAGCAAACATTCAGGCAGAAGGAACAGGAGAGCAAAGGGACATGCAATTTGAGTCATTTCATTCCTGCTTTCCTGTATTTGTTTATGTAGATATACTATTGCTTCTAATAGAAAATTTTAGAGATGAACTAATAATATTTTATTCATGATTTCTTTGTGAAGAATAAAATTGAATAGTCAATATCAGTGTTGTTTCTGGAGGCAAGCTATTTTCATAAAGTAGCTGGTAAATTAGAACTGAGTATCTTTGGGTTGGCAGTGCAACTCCTTACCACTAAACCACTAGAGCTCCCTCTGCCCTATAGGGTTTCTAGGAATTAAAACCAGTTTAGTGGTTGTGGGCTTAGTTTTGTAATGACCTACCTAATCTGATCCATAAGATAGAATTTATGACTGTGTTTTTAGAGTAGCAAAAAGAGAATACTAAATGGGAAGTTATTTACAAAAGTTTAGATAACGATACAAAAAGTATGTGATGGTGGTGGTAGTAGCAATTAAACATTTATAATCTAAGAATAAAATATACCCATAAATACAATAAATTTGACAGATAATAGGTCAAATATTAATACCACACTTTACAAAGGAGAAATTAGAGCAGTGACCAGAGGGGAGCTCTGATGGCTCAGTGGTAAGAAACTGCGCTGCAGTCCCAAAAGCATGTGGTTTGAATCCACTTAGTTCTTTCTTCATGGGAGAAGGATGGACAATCTCCTCCTGTGCAATTTGCTACCTCTGAAAACAGTTTTGGATTGATTCTGACTCAGCTTGAGGGTACATAACAACAACAGTAGTGTCCTAACATGGTACGTTGTTGTTATTGGGTACCATAGAGTTGGAACTGACCCATAGCTGACTCTCTAACGGGTTTACAGCGGAAGTTAATCACATGGGAGATTACCCAATTTTCTCCCACAAGATGGTATAGTTAGTATGAATTTCATGTTAAATCCTGGGCTTGAGGTCCTTGTTTGTCACTTAATTACTGTCATTGCTTTAGCATTAATTTTCCCATTTGTAAAGTGTGCTAATTAATACCTGACCTATTGTGAAGGTTACTATATTTTTAAATTTTATTTTATTAATGAAGGTTACTATATTTATGAATATGTTTTATATAATAGAAAAGAGGAGGATATTTTATTAATAGTTAATTTTTGTCTTTGTATTTTTAGGTATGGGTGACATTGAAGGACTAATAGATAAAGTGAACGAGTTAAAGTTGGATGATAATGAAGCCCTTATAGAGAAGTTGAAACATGGTATATGAATGACAAGAAAATATTTGCTTTCAGATGTTTTTCTTTGATTTCCTTGTCATGTAACTATTGCTTTTTTCAAATATTATATATTGTTTGAGACAGCTTTTCAAATGTTTATTATTTTAAATTATGTAGATGAGAATCATTTTGATATATAAGCAGTAACAGAATTGAGTATTTTTATTTTATTTTCTCATTTGTAATCAAATTGCCCTCAAGTAAAAGATGAAATTTTTATTGGGTTCTTTGAAGTAAAATAGGTGAAAAATTAATTAGAACACGGTCTTTCAGTCTTTTTATGCATAAATTAGATAACGTAGAACATATAAAAAGTTATTTATAAGGTTGATTATAAACACATTTTCTTAACTGTACATTGAAAACCACTCATACAGAGAAGCATATCACTATTAAGAGTTTAAGTATTTAATTAAAACATGTATTTGTATCTCTAGGAGTTTGAAAGGGTTGTGAAAATTAAATAGTTGCTGGATGTAAAATGCCTAGCACAGCATTAACATTTGTTATTAACCATCAGTTCTTCTCAAAATGATCTTTTACCTTAATTTCCATGATTAAGAACTTTGATCTCTTTTTTCTCTTTTTCATTCATATGGTACCTATTCCTTAATCTCTTTCCTAAATTTTCTGGGGTCATCCTAAGCCATCTTCCTATTTAGTGCTTCAGTCTTATATCTGTATGTTTATTAGACCATTCTTCTTGGATTGCCCTTGTTCTTAGTTGCTCTCAACTAGGTTTTGACTCATAGCCTCTTTATGTATAACAAATAAAATGTTGCCAGTCATGTACCATATTCACGATCATGCATCTGTTGGGGCTGTAGTGTCAACTAGTGCTTCTACCTGAGAATCTGTCTCATTTTTTTAAATATTCTGCTTGTTTCCATCTTTGCTTGTAAGGAACATTCTGGTTATATTTTCTTCAGATAATGATTTGTTTGAAAGTCTATAGTATATTGTATATTGCCAGTGCCAAAAATCAAATGCACTAGTTCTTCTGTCTTCTTTTTTCACTGTCCAACTTCTACGTGCATATGTTGCAATTGAAAAGACCATGGCTTGGGTTAGAATTACCTTGGTCATCAAATTGACATCTTTGATTTTGAAAAAATTTTATAGAAGCCTTCTACAGCAGATTTTCCCCACAAAATACAGTTTTAACCTTTAATTACTGCTTCCTTGATTTTGATTGTTGATCCAAGCAGAATTAAATTGTTGACAACTTAAGTTTCTTTTCAATTTGTCATGTTATTGTTGTTGTTCTATACCATTGAGTCACCTGCAACTCACAGCAACCCTGTGTACAACAGCTCTGAAGCTTGCCCTGTCCTGAGCCAGACACTAACTCCAACACACCTACCCCCATTACCTCAGCTACTTTATCAATCCCATCTCATCCGAGGTCTTCCTCTCCTGTACTGTCCCTCCACCCTTCTGAACATGATGTCCTTATCAAAGGACTGGCTCCTCCTCGCCATGTGCCCAAAGTATGTAACACAGAGCTTAAATCTCAACATCAAGAAGATAAAAATTCTCACCATTGGGCCAGATGGCAGCACCATGATAGATAGAGAAGAGATTGAGGTTATTAACAATTTCAGCATGCTCAGCTCCATAATCAACACTCTTGGTACCAGCAGTCAGGAAATCAAAAGACAAATTACACTGGGAAAATCTGTTGTCAGGTACCCCTCCAGAGTACTGAGAAGCAACGATGTCGTTCTAGAGACTAAGGTACGTCTGATCCACCATGGTTTTCTCAGTTACTTGCTGTGTATCAGAGAGCTAGACAGTAACTAAGGATGACAGAAGGAGAATTGACACCTTTGATTTGTGGTACTAAAGAAGAGCCTTGAACATTTTTCTTGGACTGCCGAGAAAAAAATAGGTCTGTCTGAGAGAGAATGAAACCAAGTTTCTCCTTGGAGGCTAGGATATTGAAGCTCCATCTCAGATACTTTGGGCAGTTTGTCATGATGTTTATTCGGTTTATTTGTGAAGTTGGCTGGTTTTCTCCTTCATGAGATAACTAATTTAAAGCCCTGTTGTTGTTGTTGTTGTTGTTGTTAGGTACTGTCAAGTCAGGTATGACTCAAAGCAACCCTAGGAACAACAGATCTGAGTCTTGTCCTGTACCATCCTTACAATCTCTGACACTCAAGCCCATTGCTTGAGATCTCCTGATGTCCTCACTACTGGTACCAAGTGTAATGATTGTGGATCCAAGTAAATGATGTTATGATATTGACAATTTTAGTCCATGTTAGCCATAATTTGTTATAATCTACACAGTCAAATGCATTTTTTTTGCATAGCTAAAGCCATAGATGACCGCAAATTTAACATCTTTATCTTCTGTCCCATAATTTCTGATTGTCAGAGCATAATTTGAATACTCTCATTGATTTCCACATATTTGCTTCTTTATCCACTCCTTCAGTAAATATTAGTGAGTCCGCCTTCTGCTTTCTATCTTCTCTCTAAGCCTATTAGACATGTCCTCTTCCTCTTTTGCTCTCCTCCAGCCAAATTGGCTAACCTCCTACTTGTATTTTAGATTTCTCCATAAGTGTCTTTCTTCAGGAATATATCCTCTGATCCCTGGTCTAAGTTATATGTTCCTCTTACACCCTTTATGCATCACGTTAACTTGGTATCTGTCTTCCTTACTTGAAGGTAGATGTGAAATTCATAGCTGTTAGTCATCTTTTAAATTCATAGTATGTAGCACAATGTCTAGCACAGAGTGGGCTTTCTGGAAATATTTATTATATGAATTATCTACTCTTTTTTGCATGATTCTTTTCCCCCTTGACTTTCTCTTTCTTGAATAACCATACCCCTGCCTCTACAATCACCCTGAACTTTTCCATTTTCTTAGATCTCAATATTTGACAATGTTAATTATCTTTTCCCTTTTGAACCTTCATTTGTATTCCATGATAGTTAATTTTCTACATAATTCTCTTTAATTAGCACTTCTTTATAAATGGACAGATATGTGTTTTGTCCTTAATACTTCTCTCCCACTATTTACTTTTTTGTTCTTTTTTAAAAAAATTTATTATTTTTGTGTGTGTTTACTGTCAAATTGGATCTGACTGGTACAGGACGAGATTGCCCCTCCTTCTCCACCAGATTTGAACCACTTACCTCTGGGATTGCAATGCAGCTTCTTTCCACTAGGCCATCTCTCCTACTATTTTATGAGTGCTTGCTATAATATTTTTTACAATATTACACTATTATTCCAAATTCCTAAGACCAAAGGTCTTTCCTGCTCTAAGGACATAAATAGAAAATATTTTCTCCTTTGCTTTTTCCCTTGTTTTTGTTTCTGTTTGTTCTCCAGTACTATTAATACACATAGAATGAAATGCTTAGATTCCAGGAATACTGGCTTAGTTACCTAGTGCTACATAATAGAAATACTGTAAGTCATTGTCAGTGGCAGGCCTGGATGGGAAGACATAAATTAAACCCCTCGTTGGCTGAAAGCATGGTGTAGGGCCAGCTATGGGCCCCTCAACCAACAGCGTCAATGCAGCCACCCCAAGTAGATAGTTGACTGTGCCCTGTCACTAGATTATAAATAGTCCTAATCCTGTTAATTTATGCAGTGCACTTGACACATCAGCTGGACCTGTTTCTGACTGCACAGTGACCCTTCTCATTTAAGGATGTCAAAAATGCCAGTGATATGAGAAAAAAAGGCCATGGAAGGCACTATTGATGGTTCATTAATAAATTCTAGAGTGATTGTCCATTTCAGGTATTTGTAGCAGCAAACAAGGTAGTTCACCTTCATAAACTAGGGAAAATAAGACAAGAACTCTACTGAGATTATTTTCAACCTTTTGAAAATATTTGATATTTCAGCAAATGATATTTCAATTCTAATTGTTTATGTTGAAGAGAGAGAAAAACAAATACACCAAGTACTCCTAATACTTCAGATAGAAAGTCAGCAAGTTTCCTTGGAAACTTCCAGAAATAACAAATATTATAGAAGTAAAAAAGATACAAACTATCCTTACAAGAAGAAAGTATTGGGACCTTATTAGATGGCATCATTTGTGGAATGGCAACAAAACAAGTTTTATGAAGAGTCCAACATGCTCAAACCTCATCATATTTAAAAAACATTGATTTTTCTTTCTTGGTTATAAAATTATTATATATACACACACAGAGAGAGATAGATCTAGATTTATATGTACATTGTAGAAAAAATTTAAAACAGACCATTATAGAGGGGGAAAACGCAAAGAGTCTTAACCTCTTTTAAATATGTTACAATAGAAACTACTTGTATTGTTATTTGCAGTTGTCCTAATCATTTCTGTTCAAGTGTGTTTTATTTGTATATAATTGCAATAATAATTGCAAACCTTTATTGGAAGTCAACACTAAAAAAAGAAGAGAAATGGTCTTTATTACCCTATTTTACTACCAGAGAAATTACTCCTCTCATTCTCTGGAATGTATCGTTGTATCTTTTCTACTAAAACTGTCTTACTTGCGGTGGTGGGAGGGGTGTGGGGGGATTGTGTCCCAGGGAGGGAGTGTTTCTTTTACTTTTGAAAGAGAGGAGCGAACTGGCTGGGGGGGTGGGGCAGAGGGCTGGGCGGGGAGAGAAGTGCAGCAATGAATGGATGGAAATCCAAAATCTCTGTAAATTCCCATTAAAAATATTTTTTTTTTAAAAAAGGAGTCTAGTTTCTCATAGTTCTTGACATAAATGCCCAAATCTGTTTCTGATGTCTGCTGTCAGTCCTTGGTATCTGTCATCCTCCTGTGTCTGTGTCTAATCTTTTTTTATTGTACAAGTAATTTGGGTTAGGATCTACCCTGATTTTTAGTCAGTTCATTCTGGCTCTGCCCCTGCTGAGAATTTGCATTTCCATACTTGATATACTCAGTCAGGATCTGCATGTTGAGAAGATTGATTCTTATGTATACATGTTGTGTGCCTTTGAGTCAGAACTGACTTGTAGCTGACCATCTAGCAGGTTTTCAGAGGCAGTAAAGGAGGTTTCGGGGGACGTTTCTCATCCTTCTCCCATGGAGCAGCTGGTGGATTTGAACTGCATGCCTTTGGCATTGCTGTGCAGCTTCTGACCACTAGGCCATCAGAGGTCTTTTATATATACATAAGATCCTTAAAACATAGACTATCATTCTATGTATTTGTCCTGTTACTGTTGTTAGGTCCCATCAAGACAAGTATGACTCATAGTGACTGTATGAACAACAGATCTGAACACTTTCTTATCCTGTGTCATCCTCACAATCCCTGACATACTCAAGCCCTTTGCTGTAGTGACTATGTCAGTCCACCTGGTTGGGGGGTCTTCCTCTCCTTTGCTGCCCATTTGTCTTTCTAAACATGATGTCTTAGAAGCTATTGCCTTTTCTAGTGACATGCCCTAAGTATGTGAGAGAAAGCTTCAACATCCTTTCCTCCAAGAAGCACTCTGGCTGCACCTTATCTAAGACATATCTGTTCTTTTGGAAGTTTATAAGATACTGAGTACTGTTCACCACCACCACATTTCAAAGGCATCAGTTCTTCTGCCATCCTTATTTATTATCTAGCTCTCAGCAGCTTAGCAATTGATTGAAAAGACTATGATCTGAATCAGATGCACCTTAGTCCTCAAACTAGCATCATTGCTCCTCAATAATTAGAGCGGTTTCTGACTGCAGAATTTCCCAGTGCAGTGTATCTCCTGATCTCCTGATTCCTTGTAACAACTATATTGATTGTGGGTCCAAGTAAGATGAAGTTGTTGACAGTTTGAATCTTTTCTCTATCATGGTGTTGCCTATTGGTCCAGTGGGGTGAATGTTTGTTTTCTTGATGTTGAGATGCAGTCCATATTGAAGGCTGCAGTCTTTAATCTTTCCATAAGTGCTTCAGGTCCCCCTTTGGCAAGCAAGGTTGTTTCATCTGCAAACTGAAAGTTATTGATGATTCTTTTTCCAATCCTGATGCCATAGTCTTCTTAATAGCATCCAGCTTCTTCAATAATTTGTTTAAGCATACAGATAGAAATGTAAATTCTTAGCAGGCAGTTGGACCTTCTAGAATTAGTTCAGTTTCTTAGAATCTAATCTCCAAAGTATGGCCTCATTAAGGTTACAAAAGACATCCTAACAAGATCACATCTCTAAGTCAGGAATTTCCATGTTTATTGTTTGGATATTTTATATATATGTTTCAGAATGAACCCATGATTAAAAAAATTTGTTTTAGTTAATGGAAATTGGTACTCTCTAATGTTGGAATTTGGTTTTATATTTCAGGTCAGTTTACATTAAGAGATATGTATGAACAATTTCAAAATATCATGAAAATGGGTCCCTTCAGTCAAATCTTGGTGAGTTATAAAAGGTTTCCTTCTATTTAGTTTTTGTTGATAAAAGTTCTGAGAATATATATACATTTGCTTTAATTATTTTTTATGTTTAAGTAAAATAAATACTGTAGTATTTAGTATTAAAATTAAAGCCAATATTAAATAATGACATTCTGTAGAAACTTAAACTATTAACTGATTTCATATCTAAATATATTATTTTAGGGGATGATCCCTGGTTTTGGAACAGATTTTATGAGCAAAGGAAATGAACAGGAGTCAATGGCAAGGCTAAAGAAATTAATGACAATAATGGATAGTATGAATGATCAAGGTAAGATGGCATAATACTTTACTTGGAAGGTGGTACTCTGAATATTAGGATATAGCTAGCTTCACTGTATTCCTGTGGACATGATGGGGAAATTTTTAGGCTGAAAGATCATTGTTAGGTAGATTTATAGCAGTTTGAAAGCTCTTACTCAGAGCATGACAATTACTGAGTTGACTTCATTTTATGAGGAATTGTCTAATATGGTGCTTTTCCAAATGTGTTCCATGCCATGATGTTGACCGAAAAAGGGTGCTCTTATATCAAATTAATTTTAGGAAATGGTGGGTTAAAGAAAGTTAATTAACTGTATTTATTCTAAGTCTTTTCAGAGCTTTTATGTTAATAATATACATTGAGAATCATTAATAATGGGTTAGTTTAATGTCAAAATTTTTTTCCAGTGAAACTCTGAAAAGTTTCTGTCTTCTTCAGAAATAACACTGTTTCTTGGTAATCACTTCCAGGTCTTTTTTCTATGTCTTAGAACATCCTAAGCCTCTTGATATTTCTGATCCCATGACCCATTTCATTTCTTTGTTTCATTTTCTCCAGCAGACATGCTGGACATTTGTCACTGTTTTTTAGGCCCTCTACTGTGTGTGCTCAGCTTCATTTACAAAGAAAATAAAGCTGTCACATTAAATTCCTTCAGCTTTTGGCTGATTGACCTAGAAAATTCAGACAAATGCAAACTCTTGTTACCTTCATGTTTATTCCTAGGATGTCGTTTCATTATTAGTAAAATAATTTTCTCTATCCTTTGTCTTTTCTTATTGTTATTATGTGCATCAAATTGCCTATGACCTGTACAGCAGTTCTGAAGTCTGCCCTTTCCTGAGTCAGTCTCACTGATTCCAACACACCTAACCCATTGTCCCTGCTACTTTATCAGCCCATCTCATCCCAGGTCTTCCTCTCCTCTGCTGTTCCTCCACCCCTCTGAGCATAACGTCCTTCTCCAAGGACCCATCTCTCCTGATCACGTGCCCAAAGTATGTGAGACAAAGCTTCAAAATATTAGTCTCCAAGGAGAAACTTGGTTTCACCCTCTCCAAGCCAGACCTATCTGTTTTCTTGGCAGACCATGCTATGTTCAAGACTCTTCTCCAGCACCACAACTCTAAAGTATCAAGTTTATGTCATCCTTAACATTGTCCACTGATGCATAGCAAGTAATTGCAAAAACTATGGCCTAGATAGGCACACCTTAGTCTCTACACTGACCTCGATGCTTTTCAGTACTCGGAAATGTCCCTGATTTCCCAATGTTATTCATCTTTTGATTTCCTCACTGCTGGTATCAAGAGTGTTGGTTGTAGAGCTGAGCAAGCTGTAATTATTAACAACCTCAATCTTTTCTCCATCTATCATGGTGCTGCTAGTTGGCCCAGTGTTGAGAATCTGTCTTCTTGATGTTGAGCTTCAGTCCCTGTTAAAGACAACAGTACTTGACCTTCTGCAACAAGTACTTCACGTCTTCTTCAGTTTCAGCAAGCAGGGTTGTGCCATCTGCATAACATAGGTTGTTGATGAGTCTTCCTCCAATCCTGATGCCACATTCCTCCTCATAAAGCCCAGCTTCCCGAATGATTTGTTCTGCATATAGATTGAAAGGTATGGAGACAGGATGCATCCTTGATTCACTTCTTTCCTGCATTTGAACAATGTAGTGTTTTCTTACTCTTCTGAGGACTGCTTCCTGGTCCAATTATAGATTTCACATAAGCACAATCAAGTGTTCTGGGATTCCCATTTTCCTCAAGGTTAGTCACAATTTGTTGTGATCCACACAGTCAGATGCCTTTGCATAATCAGTGGAACACAGACATTCTTCTGATTCTCTTTGTTTAAAAAGTTCATATTTTGATGGAGGCGGGGGGAAATTTGGACTGTTCCAATAGTTTCTGGATAAATATGTCATGAAATCTGGAAAACTATCAGAATAGATATAGAATATGGCCTCACTGTTCCAATTTTCACTCTCTTTTCTGTCAAACTTCTTGAACAGTTTGTGTTTTCTCAAACACTAAAATGTGACCTTGCTTCCCACTATTACTGTGAATTAAATAGGCCATACAAAGCTCTCCAATGAACTACTGGTCTTTTCTAATGAGTACTTCTCAGTCTTTTTTGTTAGCCTCTAAAATACTAAGTGCTACTTAATCACCTTTTCTTCTGGTTTTTACTATAGCAGTTTCCCTGCTTTTACCCTTACCTTTCTTGTTACTCCTCAGTCCCTTTCACTGGTCTCTACCTCCGCTTACTCTGTAAGTGAATATGTCCTGTCTGTCCTTGGCCAGTTTTTAATTGTCATTATGGTCATTTTTCTTGAATGTTTCATCCATATCTTTGCTTCTACTATGTAAATAACACTTTGGGAAGCAGACATGCAGATACTGCAGTGGCTGTAATGGGTCCTTCTTCCCCTCTTTGCAGTCTGACTTTTCTGTCCTTATACTTGTTCTCTTGAGTTTTATGATTAGTATGTGTAGGAAGGGTGTGGGCACACTGGGCTCTGAACTTGTTTTTCTAAAATAAAATTAGAGAGCAACTGGGTTTAAAGAAAAAGTAAGAGCTCTGTGAAGTTACATATTCTTTATTTGTATATTATTTGTATGTAACTGCTCCAGTGATAAATTAAGTATTTTGTATCAGTGAAAATAATTAACCCTCCCCTGCAGAACTTGATAGTACAGATGGTGCCAAGGTTTTTAGTAAACAACCAGGAAGAATCCAAAGAGTAGCAAGAGGATCAGGTGTGTCAACGAGAGATGTTCAAGAACTTTTGACGCAGTACACTAAATTTGCACAGATGGTGAAAAAGATGGGTGGTATCAAAGGACTTTTCAAAGGTAAGAAAAATAGCAAGATCACCTTTAGTTACCATATTGAAAGGAACGAAGGAAAATAGACAAAATAAAAAGCCAGAGAATATTTACAATATTAGAAAAATCATTCCTGAATTTTATATTGGAGTCAAAGTACTTTGAGGATTTATAATGTGACTTATGATTTGTCTGGTTTTAAATACAAACTTACTGGTGTGTACTAATAGTAGTAAAATAAACAAATACAAAAAGGCCCAAGGATCTTAATGAATTTTTAAAATGAATGTTTAATACATTTCTAGAAAATAAAGACAGTATAAAAAAAAGTGAGAAGCACCCATTCCTTTGTTCTTCATTGTATGTCATAGAGTCTGTTACAAAAAGTGTTCACTGTAGCTAGTATCTTCATATAACATAGTATGTCATAGCTAATACATTATGTCAGTATAGCTTTAAACTGTTGAGCACTATTCTAGTTATGCATACATTTTTGTTCAACTTAAAGCTTATCAGGCTAATTCTAGTTTATTTTTAGAAGTTGCCAATTTAATAGTCAAAAGTCTTTTCAACATGTCTATTCTATTAAGTGTATTAATTATTATTACTAATTTGAATTTATTTTTTGAATCACAATTTGCATTTGTCTATTCAGGGTTTTTTTCCCCCATAATTTTCTAGTAACACTGTTCCTTGGCTTCTCTCTGCAAACGTGTGTATGTGTACCATCAAATTGGATCTAACTGGTACAGAAAGAGATTGCCTCTCCTCCAGCAGAGCATTTGGTGGATTCAAACCACATGCCTCTGGGATTGAAGTGCAGTTTCTTGCCGCTAGGCCACCAGAGCTCCTCTGCAAACATTTTTTTTTTTTCAAAAAAATTTCATTTTTAGTAAGTTAAATTTAATAAATTAATATTTTTAATAAGTTTATTTTTCCATATCATGAAGCCTATCTGTATTTTCTTCATGGAGGTTTTATTTATTTATTTATCCTCATAAACACCTTCTCTATGCTGATACCACAATCATCATCTACTTTCTTCTATCTTTTGGTTTTATTTTTTATTACTTTTAATTCTGAAATTTATTTTACTATATATGCATAATGTAAAAGGATAACTTTGCTTTCCCAAAGAGTTAGTCTACTGTCTAGTATTCTTCCATAATGTAAACAACTATACATCTTATCTCATTTCTCTTAAGTTGAAACTAACTCATAACTAACCCTTCGTTGGATTTCTAGGCTTAAATTGAATGGGAGGAGATTATCCATCTTGCTTTGACAGAGCTACTTATGTATTTGAACTACCAGAGAGGTGAACCCTTTAGGTTAGCAGTACAAATCACAGCAGACTACACTACCAAAACAGCTCCCTGACAATTACGTGAATTAATTTTTTCAAATATTGAAAATTAAGTAAACTGCAGAGGAGAAAATAGAATTAGCTCTAGTGCCCTAGAGATAAGAAGCTGCACGATGTCTCAAAAGCATGTGGCTCAAATCCACCAGCTGCTCCATGGGAGAAGAATGGGCATTCTCCTCCCATATCATTTACTGCTTCTGAAAACCCACTGGAGAGTCAGCTGTGGGTTGGTTCCTACATGATGGCACACAATAACAACAAACAGAATTACATACAGGTTTTTTAAACCACCTTTTGTCTCTCACAAAATGATTTTCTTTGCTTGTTATAACTAACTTATTTTCCTCTTGTATAACAAGAGAGAAAATTAGACAAACATTTTTTAATTAGTTAACATCTAGGCTCGTGTTGTTATTACAGGTTGTTCACATAGTTCTTTAGTTCTTTGGACTAATCGTTCAAGTGTCTTGATGTTTCTTTACTGTTTGCTTTGGTGGCTTAGTCTTTAGCAAATTGTGCTGCTAATCCAAAGACCATGGTTCACATCTACCAGCTACTCTTTGGGAGAAAGATGACCAGTCTCTTCCCATGCAGTTTATAGCCTTGAAAACTCAACAGAGGGACAGCTGTGAGTGAGTTCTGACTGGTCAGCAATGAATTTTATTCTTTGCTCCAGTTGGGGAGAGACCAGTAGTTTTATGTCCTCAGAAACAAATTCTATCTGCAACTCATCAATGAATGTGGAGTACAGATCTTCAGATTTATTAATCATTAATTTTTCTCAGAGTTTTATCATGCTTTCTTAAAACAATTCTATTTCATGGTTTATAATTTATTCCAGTAAGCCAGCTTTGATCAGAGATTATGGGCAGCCTTGATTTTTGTTTTCATTACATACTCCTGAAAAATACCATACTTCATTTTCTTTTAAAAGAATTTTCCTGAGACTAATAATTCCTGCTGCCTTCCAGTCTCTTAAAAGCTCACCTATTTACTAAAGGATTCTTTTATCTGTTTTGCCCTAAGTACTTCTCTTTCATTAGCTTCTCTTTTTATTGGGGACTTTTTGACTGTGTGGAAATTAATTGACAATGAGGATGCATTTCTCCTATATATTATTTGAAACTTTTTGTGACCTTTAATATGTTCTTAGATATAGAAATCTTCAAATTATCTTAGACTAATTCTTTTACTTACCAGCAGTTAAATATTTTTAAATTTTTCTATATATACAAACTTAGCTCTTTGTTAGGATTTTCCCATATACTATTAAATAATTAGAAAAGAATATGTAGAAATGGAAATTATTAGAATGATAATATTGTAGTTGACTTTTTCTTTGTGCTACTCAAATCATCAATTTTATTAATAGCCATTTATGTTACATTTTATGGTGGTTTAAACTCTCCCCCCCACCTTTTCAGGAGGTGACATGTCAAAGAATGTAAGCCAGTCTCAGATGGCAAAATTGAATCAACAAATGGCCAAAATGATGGATCCAAGAGTTCTTCATCATATGGGTAAATACTAAGTTATTGATTATTGCTTATACAAAGTTCATAGAAATGGAGCTTTAATGAAGACTTTCTATTATAATACTATAATAGTTTTTTTAAATATATGTGAGTTAAGAAAATAGTCATCTGAATCATATGTTGAATGCTTGTCATATCCTCATATAGTTTAGAGTTTTGTTATTCCTCTCTTGCCCCTTTTTTATTTTCTGAGCAAAACCCTTAAGCTGTTCTGTCTCATGATAACTATCCCCTCATTGGGTTTCCAAGACTGTAAATCTTTATGACAGGAGACTGTCTATCTTTCTCCCATGGAGAGGTGGCTATTGTTTGGTGAACTGTCATTGGAACATAGCTGACCCTGCAACCGAGTTTTCAGAGGCAATAAATTACACAAGAGGAGGTTGTCCGTTTTTTCCACAGAGCAGTTTGGATTTGAACCATGTGCCTTTGGAATAGCAGTGCATCTTCTTACACCCCATGGAATGGCTAATGGGTTCACATTGCCAAAATTTTGGTTAACAGTCCAACACATAATATAATACTTCACCTGCGCTTCTTTTTGAACATTATGGTAGGAACTTATTAAGTGGTAGATTGTTTTTCTCCTATAATTTTTTTAAAATAACCCTAATTAAATTGTTGTTGTTGTTGTTATGTGCTGTCGAGTCGCCTGCGACTCATAGCGACCCTATGTACAACAGCCCTAAACTCCACACTGTCCTGTGCCAATCGCACTATCTCCGACACTCCCATCCCAATTATTCCAATCAATCCACCTCATAGAGGGCCTTCCTCTCCTGCGCTGTCCCTCCACCCTTCCAAGCATGATGTCCCTCTCTAAGGACCGGTCTCTCCACACAAC